AAAAAAAAAAAAAAAAAAAAAAAAAATATTATAATAACCTCTTAATTGAATTTTTACATTTTTTTTTTTATTTTTAATAAGAAGTCATGTTTTGCAATACATTCTTTTTTTTTTTTTTTTTTTTTTTTCCCCTATTAAGTGAAATATAAAATTTAGATTTTCTTTTTAAACATAATGTTATTATTTAACATATTCTTCTTTTTCAATAAATATAAATATGAAAAATCCATTTTGTTTTTTTATTTAGTCAATAAATAAAATAAATTTTTATTTTTTTATTAAAAATTCTTTTTATTTTTGCTTAAGTATCTTATGTTTTTTTTTTTTTTTTTTTTTTTTTTTTTTTTAATATCAGCTATTTTTAATTTTTTTTTTTTAAGATATTTTTAATGTAATTTTTTATCCCTTTATAAGGTGCAATCAATCTTTTGTTAAATTTTAAATTTGTTACCTATATTTTTCTACGTATAATATGTTAAATTTTTCTCTACTTTTTTTAGTATAAATTTATTGTTTATTTTTATATATTAATAAGAATTTTCAAATAAAGATTTCTTTATTTCATTATGTAATTGGTTTGTTTAACATATTTTTAGTTTAAATTTTTTTTGTTCTTTTTTGACAGCGTATTTTAAATTTTTATATGTTATTCATGGTAATAGTATTTTGAAAATTAAAAAACTTTGTTTGAATAGTGTATTTATAAATTATATAAAGATATTTTTGTTTTTATTTTATTTTTTTAAGTTGTTAAGAACAGATTGTTGTAAAAGTATTTTAATCATAATTTTATTGTGCAAAAGCAATTTTTTCAAATTAAAACATACGAATTATCAAAAATACTTAAAAAAAAAAAAATGATTATTCATTATAAGTAAAAATAATTTTTTAAATAATATATTTTTTTTTATTAAATTTTAAGACCACTATGCTCAATTGGAAAAACGCACATGTATATATAATATTTTATAATTAACTAATTTAATTACATATAACGATACTATTTTTATTTTATATAATTAGTAAAAAGAAAGGATAAATAAATAGTTTAATGCTATTTTATTAAACTATTTTCTTAATAATTTAATTTTTATTTTACAAATGGCTAATGACTATTTAGAATTGTTCAATGAAATAAACTCCTATGTGTAATATTAAAAAAATTTTTGTAATTTATTTTTTCTATTAACTTCAATGAAAAAATATTTTATTTTCATTTTATTTTTATTTTTATTTTTCTTGAAGTGATATATCCTCATTTGAAACACACCAGTTAACTAATAAACCATTATTTTTAATTAAAAATGAAAGAAAATTTTTATTTTTGGCTAGAGGTTAATATATTTAAACAAATACATGTGTATATATATGTCATATAAATATTGTTTTTTTTTTACCATCTTGAATAACTTACGTCTAATTGTAATAAATAGTATCTCTTTTAATTGTTATGTTACTAAAAATTTTATTAATAAATTATTAAAATTTGTAGATATATTTATAAGAAATTGAATTTATATAACTTTGTAATTATAACCATAATTGAAATAAATTTTTTATTTTTATTTTTTAAAAGAACCTTATGAATATAAATTAGATCATTTATATAAGGATATAATAGAAGTGACAGAAAATATCAAAAGAAATTTAATAAATGAAAGTAACATAAAAAAAAAAAAAAAAAAGAAAAAAAAAAAATAATCATTTATTAATATATTTAATTTTCAACATATAATAATTTCTAATTACATGCTTTTATTGAAATATATGTTATTCATCTTAAGTATTCTTTATTTTTTTTTTTTTTTTTTTTCTACAAAAATTTATAAAATAAAAAATGGATTATATAAATTTTTACCATATTTTTGTTTAGATATTCATACAATTTTATTTCTATATATCAAAATTTTAAAAGAAATAAGGATACATAAAAAATATAAAAGAGGTTATTATATAAGAAAAAAGATCTATTATACAAATGTGTTATTAGTTTGCAAAAAATTTTTTTTAATAATTATTTTTTTGTTTTTAGGAATTGATGAAAAAGTAGAAAAAGTTATAATATCAGCAATAAAATTATACTCACTAAAGGTAATAAATTAAAAAAAAAAAAAAATGAGTTAATATAAATTTATATAACCATGAGTAAATTATATATTCACTTAAAATTTTGATTTTTGAAGGAAAGACAGAACGAAAATATAAAAAAATACTACATAAAAAAAATTTGTTCTATTTGTAATAGTTTATCAAAAATTTTAGTTCAATATAAAAGGAACTCAGAAAACATATTAAAAAATAAACCATCTTCATGTGATTTCGATGATGAAAAAAAAAATTTTTTAACTAATAGTAACTCCTTTCAAAATAATTTTTTCAAATGTAACATTAAAAATACAAAGTTGGTACTAAAAAAAAAATATAAGAATTTTATTAATATTCCTTAAAAAAATATACTTAAATATATATTTATTCTAATATAAATTTTATATTTTCTTTATTTTTAATTATATATATATATCATTTATTTTATTTTATTTTTTTTTTTTTTTTGAGAATGAAAATAACAAAAATGCTTATGAAGGAATAAAAGAAAAAAAAGTTAATAAAACAGTTGATATAGAAAAAGAAAAAGGTATAAAATAAAAAGTATATATCAAATTTTTCAAAAATTAAAATAGTATATAGTCTAAATAAATTATAAAAATAATATATTTATTATTATTACTAAATTTTTTTTATTAATAGAATTACCTTTTAAAAATAAAATAAATATCAAGAATTCAAATAGTTCAGAACTTTTAAATAATTATAGAAAATTATATAATCCTTCAAAAAAATTGAAGAAGTTAAATTTAAAAAAAAATTTTACATTAATAAATAGTATAAGGTGTTTATATTCTGCTAAAGAATTAAATGACACAAACAAGGACAATTGTCAGAAAGAAGTAAAATTATTTAAATGTTACAAAAGACATGGTGAAAACTTAGTATTAGGTAAGAGGAGTAATCTTCTAAAAAAATTTAATAGATTTTTAGAAAAAAAACAGAAAATTATAGATAAAAAAAAAAAAAAAAAAAATTCAGAAATTCAAGATGAAAGTACTAATAAAATGAGTAGTGACAATTCAAATAGTAGATTAAGAAGAAAAAATTATAAGAAATATCAAGAAGACAATGATTTTTCATATATTGAAAAAAATATTTCAAATAAATTAAAAGATATATTATTAAATACAAATAATACATTTACTACATTTAAAGTGAGTAGTAGTGGAAACATAGAGACTATTATTCAATTATCAGAAGATAATAAAAAAAAAAAAAAATTTATAATATTAAATGAATATGATTATTTTTTTAATAGTAGTACTGATGAATTAAAAGAAGGAACATGTAAAAAAAATAAAGATGAATATGATTATAAGAAATTTTTTTTTTATGTTGGTAAAAAAAAAATATTTTTTGATAAAAAAAAGAAAGAAAAAATTATTTTTGAAATGGATGAAAATGGTTTATTAAAAAAATATATATTTAAGAAAAATAAAAACAATAATGACATATTAATGAAAGTATACAATGAAAATGAATGGTCTGATGATATTGTGGATTTTTGTTATATCACAAAGGATATGAATAAAGAAAAAGTTGTAATTAAAAAAAACAAGAACGGAACAAGAAGTAGAATTGTATATCATGAAAGTGAGTTAAATGATAAAGAGAAATTTAATTATTATAAGAGGAATGTAGAAAATATCAAAAAAATAAATTTTTATGATGATGATGATGCAATTCTTTACTTTTTAAGAAAAAATGTTACAAAAAAAAAAAAAATAAAAAATGAAGATATTTTAAAAAAAAAAAAAGTTTCTGATACAACTCATACCATTCATAAAAAAGAATTTAACAGTTCCTCTTTAAAAAAAAAAAAACAATTATTATTATATAATAATATAAGTGAAATGTACAAAGAAAGTCAATCAGATATTTTGTCAAAGATAAATGAAAGAAAAGATAAGTTCTTAAAAGGAATATGTGAGTTAAATAAAGAAGAAACATATGCAATTAAAAAAGTACAAAAACCAAAAAATGTAGAAAAACAATTAAAAATAAATAACTTTTCTATGAGAGAAAAAAGAAGCCTCAGTAATAATAAAGATAAAACAAAATTTAACAAATTGGATAACTTATTCGAATTATATGAAAAAGAGAAAGATGAAAATAAAGAAATTACAAATAATAAATATATATTATATGAAAACGAAAAAGAAATTATAAAAGACGATATGAAAAACGAATTAAAAAAAAATACATTAAATAATAAAAAAGTCCTTAATAACAAGGAAAAAACAAAAAATATATATGATAATTTAAAAAAAAAAAATGAATCAAAGAAGAGTAGCATGTATTCTATAGATAAATTAACCACTATCATTGCAAAGAAAAAGGAATCAAATGAAAGTTTTGAAAAACAAAAAAATACGAATAAGAAAATTGAAGATTTTGTTTTTAATGAAAATTTAAAAAGTATAAGTGTTTCATCCTACAATTTAAGAGGAGTATTTTCAAAACAATCTTCCAAAATTTCATTGTATGAAAAGAATTTAGATTTATCATCTAAAAGTTTTAAAAATAAAGACAATGGAATTATCTCAAAAACATCATCTTTTTTATCAAATAATGAAAAATGTGAAATTATAGATGATGCATTTTCAAAAAAAAATTCATATTCATTTATTAAAAGTTTCAATAGTAAGGATTTTAATGATATTTCAAAAAAAACTTCATATTCATTTATTAAAAGTTTCAATAGTAAGGATGTTAATGATATTTCAAAAAAAACTTCATATTCTTTAATGAATAATTTTAAAGATAAAGAACACATTATTTTTCAAACAGAATCAAACAATATTATATGTAAGAAATATTCAAGCCATGATTTATCACAATTAAATGGTAATTTAGAACTAAGCACAAATTCAAATAATGAAAAAAATGAAAAAAATGAAAACTATAATTTAAAAGAAAAAAGTGAAAAAATAGATGAAGATTATGATAGTGAAAAAAATGACAGAATTGTATATTTAAGTAAAGGTTTTTCAGCATATGCCCACATGATATTATGTAAAACACAAATATATAGAATACATGAAATATTTTTATTATAAAAAAAAAAAAAAAAAAATAAATTAAACAAAATAATAATAAGTCTAAAAGTATATAATATTATATTTTTTTTTTTTTTTTTTTTTTTTTTTTTTATAATTATATCAATTCTTATTTTTAGCAGAAACAAATATAATAACTAGGAAATGTATAATTTCTTATAATGTGCAAACTAAGAAGCTAAAAATGATGAGAAATGAAAAAATATTTGAAATTGATGGACACAAATTAAACATTCAAGAAATACCAACTTATGGTGAAAATGGAGCAATAGTGAAGTTAGTAACTTCTAAAAAAAATTGTAACGCATTATTAATAGAATCTGATGACCTTGTTGGTTTACAACATCTAGGTGATGAAATTGGATGGTATTATGAAGAAAAAGGTAACATAATAAATATATTATATTAATAATAATAAAGTACATATTAAAAATGTAGCTTTTTGTATAATATATTTTATATTAAAATGAGTTTTAATGATATAATTTTTTTTTTATTATTATATATTTTTTTTTTTTTTTAATAATACAACATACTCTTCAGATGATACAATAGGCAATAAAACGGTAAATAATAATAGAATACACAAAATTAAAAAAATATAGATTCTTAATATATTTTTATTTATTAAAAATATAAATGAAAAATAAATATATATTATATAATAAAAAGAAACTCAGTAATATTTTATGATTTTTTTTTTTTTATTCTAGAAAAAATTAAGTAATCCAAAAGAAATATATTACAAATTGAATAGTAATAGTAATGAATAACTTAATATTACTATTTTTTTTTTTTTAAATTAATCATTTTATATATTTTTATAATACAATTTTATTTTTATTAAATGAATTAATTGATGATTTTTTTTTTTTTTTTTTTTTTTTATAGAATCAAAGAAAAGGATAAGTTTTTTCGATAAAATAAAATTAAACAAATTTTTAGGTAGAAAAAAATAAAACACGTTTCTTTAATAGTAAAATAAAAACTGGAAATCAATAATATTTTCATATTGAACAAAAAAAAAAAAACAAAAAAAACAAAAAAAAAAACAAAAAAAAAAACAAAAAAAAGAACAAAAAAAAAGAACAAAAAAGAACAAAAAAAAAGAGCAACAAAAGAAAATTTTATAATATATAGTTATATAATACAAAATTTTCTTTTTTTATTTTATAATTCTAAAACTCTTTTGCTATTTCCATTATTAAAAATAAACACTATATAGATGTTGATAACTTATATAAATATAAGGAAATTCTATTTTTTAAAGAATTCAAGAATTTTATTGAAAGGTATTTTATTTTTTATTATAATTGAAGTGATTATTTATTATTTGTATTATTTCATCTAATATTTTTAGAAGAATATCAATTTCAAAAGTAGTACTCTTTTTGTATATGTTGTCGTTAAAAATACTTTTTTCATCTTGTTTTCTTGTTATAATTTGTTCAAAATTATCAATAAATTTTATCATTTTTTTTTCTATATCTTTTAATTCTTCTAAGTGACACTTTGTATTTCTTTTTTCTTTTTCGTTTAACATTTTTTCTAAAATATTTTTCTCATTTGTTAAATAGGAATACACTTCAAAAAAATTAATGTATTTTTCTGTGTCTAATTTACAATTTGCTGCTTCCTTTAAATTATTTTTTTTTGTTAATTTATAGTTTTTTCCTTTTTCTTCTTTTGTAAAAACATTATTATTTTTTATTTGATTGAGATAACAATTCATATTTTTTTTTTTTATACCATAAATTGAATCAAAATGTTTTTTTGCCTCCTTATATGAACTAACTGATATATTTTTATATGCCTCTTTATTTGTGAGAAGAAATAACTTTGAATCAGAACTCATATCATATTTCATATCTTCACTTTTTTCATCTAATTTTTTATAGTAATTTTCATTCATAGTATTAGTAAGTAATGTATTATAATTTCTATAAGAATAAATGTTAATAAAAAAAAAATATATAGTATTGATAAAAATAATAAAACAAAATATATTAAAAGATTAACATAAAAAATAAAAAGTGTAATACCAATATAAATATGTAAACATGTAAAAAATGAATATTAATTTTAATTTATTCAATTTTTATATAAAATTTCATAAAAAATAATTTTCTTTAAATAAATAATATTCTTATTCTATTTTATTTCTTTTTTTATTTTTGGTATATATAATATATTATACCTTTTAGTATTTTGTCCCAAATTTTTACTTGAAAGATTTTTCATAATATACATATTAATATTTTCAATATGATCTCTCCTTAAATCATTCCCATAATATTTTATTTGCTCATTGATATAATTTTTCATCCTTTCGTCAAGGTATTTATAATTTTTAATTAGTTCTATAGAATATTTTTTTGGATAAATAAAATTTTTTCTATTCATATGTTTATCATTATTATAATTTTTTTCTTTCATTTCAATTTTACTGTTTTCATTAAGATAATAATGATGTTTCTTATCTTTTTTATTTGATACATTTTCTGAATTGTTTTTCTTTTTAATTGTTGTTTCTTTAATTATATTTTTATTATTATAATTGTCTTTATTATTAACAATTTTATTTGAATAATTAATATTTCCACTATTATTACTATTCTCTTTTTTTTTTAAATATTTTTCTTTTGATTTATAGCTTGAAAAATATTCTTTATCTTTCTTTTCTTTTTCATTTTCTATTAATTTATCTAATTGCTTATTTTTTATTTTTTTCTTTTTCATATTGACAGATAATTTATCTGGTAAATTTTTATTCAATGCATTTAATGATTTTTTATCTGAATTATCCGATATAACTTTATTTGAATTATCTAATGAATTTTTATATAAATTACTTGAATTTGTTTGTGATATTATCGACTTATTTATTTTCTTTATTTTAAACTTACATCTAATTTTTTTTCTTAATCTATCATTAACTTCTGTATTTAATGATATATTTTTTTTTTTTAATTCATTTTTTTCAGAAGATTCTTTATTATTATTATTTTCCATTTCTTTAATAAATCCCTTTTCATCAATTGAAGTTATGTTTTCTTTTTTAACTTTCTCAATAACATTTGTTAATAAATTTTGAGATTTTTTTTCGTTTTTTATTTTGATTTTGCATTTATTTTCTAAATCTTCATAACTTTTTTTTTCTTTTAAAAATTTTACATCGAACGAGTATTTACTATTTTCTAATTTCTTTTTCTTATCAAAAACTTTTGTATTTCTTAAATTTGAATTATATATATTTCTTTGATTTTTTAATATACTTTCATTAGATGAACTTCTAATTTGTTTTTTATTTCTGTTAAAACTTGAAGAGTTACTTGGTATACTATCTTCAAAATTATTAAATTCACATCCAGTTTTATATTTAATGTTATCATTTTTATTATTTTCTTCTTTATTTTTTTTTATTTTTTTCTTCTTTAAAATTGATAGATTTCCATAAATGGCATTAATATTATTATTATTATATACTAATTTTTGAAAGTTATCATTAGTATTATTATCTTTATTTTTACTAGTGTATCTAAAAAATGTATCTTCTTTTTTGTTGTATCTAATTAAATTTTTGTTTCTTAATTTCTTCTCTTCTTTATTCATCAAATATTCGGAAATATATTTTTTATAATCATTTGATAAATTAGAGTTTAATATTCCATTACCTTGTTGAATAAAATTAAATGACTTTATACAATCATTATTATTATTACATTTATAAAATGAATCATTAAACTGCTTTTCAGAAATAATATTTAAAATTTTTATATAATCTACTGAATTTAGCTTATTGTTATTTTTTATTTTTTTAGTCTTATTTTCATTTAATTTTTGTATCTCATCTATATAACTATTATTGTTATACATAGTGAAGTCGTTCAAATTATCCACTTCATTTTGAAAACTATGAAAGTTTTCTTCATATTCATATTTTTCTTGTTCTTTTTTCATAGGTTTTTTCCTTTTATATTCATTTTTTTTTACAATATCATAAAATTTATTTTTTATTGTATTATTTTTTTGTTCAAATTCAGTATTTTTAACTTTTGATAAAATATCATTTAATGAAAACTTATTGGTATCTTTATTCAAGTTATTTAAATTAATTTCATCAAATATATTTTTTTCAATACTTTTATTATTTTCATATATTTTCATAATTTCGTTAAAATTAGACATTTTTAAAAAAATTTACATTATGAAATTCTTCTTATACTTTTTACACAAAAGTTATGTTTTCATTATTCTATTTTTTTTTTTCTTTAAACTATACTTTGATATATTCATATGATTATTGTAATTTCTATTACTATTCTATTTTTCTTTTATATATATATATACCAATTATCAAATATAAAATTAAAAAAAAAAAAAGATGCAAACAAATTTTGTAATATTAATTGGCATTTTTTTTAAAAAAAAATGAAGAATTAATTATGCATGAGAAAACAAACTTATTATAAAGAAAAAAAAAATTAAAAAATAAACTTCAAAAAATAAATAAAAAAAAATGATAAAACTAAATAATAATAGAATTAACATTAAAAAATTAAAATATTAAAAAATTTTTATGGAAAAAAAAAAAAAAAAAATTCAACATATTTACAAAATTAAACAAAGTTTTATTCTTTAAATAATTAATTAAAAAAATTTAAAAATATGCATAAAATGTTTGTTAAATATCATTTTAGAAAATATTTACTTATTATATATAAGATTATATATTTACGCATATTTTTATTATAAAAAAAAAAAAAAAAAAATTGAAAAAAACAAAAATAATAATACTATACATATATATATATATATATGTAGTATTTAATATAAGATGTCGAAAATTATCCATTTTAAAAAAAATATTTTTTAATTACACCTATCAAATTTTAAAATTTTTTTTTTCATTTTAGAAATTATAAAAGAAAGACAGTAAAATACAATAATTTTAGGAAAAAGAATAATTATTTTATAATTTTGATTTAATGAAATATATATATTTTTGATAAATGTAAATTTATAAAAATGATTATGTAATAATTAGAATAAAAAGTATAACAAAAATTGTAAAAATATTATAACACATATAACTATAATTAAGGAAATTATAACAATACAAAGAAATTAATGAAAATTTTTCCTTATCTATTAAAATACACATATATTGTGATTAAAAGTAAAAAATAAATAAATATATAGATATCAGTGAAGATGTATATAAAAATTTATATAATAATAGCATATGGATTATTAGTACTCTTTGATATGATAAAATGTATATATATAGAGAAAAGTAAAAATGCATTAAAAAAATGTAAAAAAAAAAAATATAATTTAAATAAAAAAGTGAATAAAATATTTTTTGTAGTAAATAAAATAAAAAAGACAAATTTAAATAAAATAAAAAACTTGATAAAAATGGAAAACTCTAATTTTGATAAAGATAGATTATCTTTACTAAAAAATTTAGAAGAAGAATCAAACATAGTTTTACAATCACCTGAATGGAATGAAAAATGCCCATTACTAGAAATAAATAATCTTCATGCTATAGAAATTGAAGGAGAAAAAGAAATATTAAAAGGAATTAATCTAAAAATATATTTAGGAGAAAAGCATACTATAATGGGTAGAAATGGATCTGGTAAATCTACACTTGCAAAGGTAATCGCAGGACATCCATATTATAAAGTTACTAAAGGAAATATGAAATTCAAAGGATTAGATTTAAATACTTTACCTGTTAATGTTAGATCATTATGTGGTATATTTTTAGCTTTTCAATATCCTGTTGAATTACCAATGGTTAAAAATAATGAATTTTTAAGAGCCGCTTTAAATTGTCATCGAAGAAATAGAAATGAAACAGAAATAAGTGCTTCTGAATTTAATTTATTAATGATAAATGAGATAAAAAAAGTAGGATTAAGTCCTGATTTTTTAGATAGGCCAGTTAATTATGGTTTTAGTGGAGGAGAAAAAAAAAGAAATGAAATTTTACAAATGCTAATTTTAAAACCATCATTTTGTATTCTAGATGAAACAGATTCAGGTTTAGATGTAGACTCTTTTAAATTAACATCTAGTGTTATTTCAAATTTTTCTAATAAAAATAATTCCTTTTTAATAGTAACACATTATAAAAAATTATTAGAACTACTAAAACCAAATTTTATACATATTATGCACCATGGGAAAATTATAGAAAGTGGAGATTATTCATTAGTTGACAAAATAGAATCTGAAGGTTTTTCTCAATTTCTTAAAAATTCTGATACAAGTTAAAATTATTAATGGATTCACATCCATTTTAATTTAATTCTTTTATTAATAATATTTCACCTGATTACTTTAATTTAATAATTATATATAATAGTCTTAAAAAAAGTAGATGTGAAGAGAACATTTAAAATTATATTTTTTTATATTTTGCTTTGTTAAAATTATTTCATTTTTATTTTATTTCTTTTATATACCTTTTAAAATTCTTTTTATTTTTGTGTCTACTTTTTATAATTTTTTCTTCTAAAATTTTTATTGTACAATTTTTCATAAAAAAAATATATCTTTTTTTTTTTTTTTTTTTTAACTAGAATTATTCTTACAATTATATATAATAAATATATTTATGATTTTAAATTATATTTTAAGATTTCGTTTTTTTTTATTTTATTTAATTATTTAAATGATACTTTTTTTAATTTTATTATCAACATTTTTTTTTTTTTTTTAATTAAATTTATAAACATTTCATTTTATGTTGTTAATTGTTTTAATTTTTTTTTTTTTTTTTCAATTTACATATACTTTAAAGTTTATATTTTTAATTTTATGTCTCTTTCTAATTTTTTTTTATATTTAATTTGTTAATAATACATATATTTTTTAAGAAAAATTATTTATTAACAAAAAATATTTAAAATATGTAATTAATCTTATACAAAAAAAAAAAAAAAAAAAAAAATTATTAGTTAACTAATAAACACACACAAATATGAAAAAAAAAATAAAAAAAAAAAAAAAAAAAATTAAACTAGTCAATACCCTTTAAAGTTAATAATAAATAATTATAATTCTTTCTGTGGTTTTTTATCTTTATTTTATTATTTTTTTTGTATGAATTTATTCTTACATTCTAAAAAATATATATAAGTAATTGATTTTTTTTTTTTTTTTATTTTATTTTTTTTTGTTTTTTTGTATATCTTACTGAAACCTTTCTAGTTAATTCATTTTATGATATAAGAATACTAAGAAAAATTAAATGATGGATTAATATATTTTGTATTAAAAATAAACAAAGTGCTTTTATTATGACAGTTATATGAAAAAAAAAAGAAAATAAGTGGATATGTGAAAATACAAATAAAAAAAAAAAAAAAGAAAAAATATGTTTTTAAATCATGTGAAGAATAACATAATTATTTTTATTTTCATTTGTTTATTTTTTATAAATAATGGTGTAATAAATGCAAACATTAAGATATTTGATAGTTTAAAATTTATATATAATAAAAAAGCAGAAAGTTTTTTGAGTATAAAATGGAAACAATTAAAATGCAGAAAAATAAAAAAATACATAAATAAATACAATACAAAAAAATACGAAAAAGGAACTCCTTTATTTTTTATGAATAAGACATTCAAACATGGATATGCAATAAAAAAGTTTTCGCTTTTTAAAAAAAACAAAGGAAAAAATGAAAAATCAAATATAAAAAAAAAAGAAAAAAAAAAATTTACCGAAGAAGAAATAGAAGAATTGAGGAGAAAAGCTAAAGAAAAGTTACAACCAAAAAAAGAAAGTGAGAAAACAAAAAAAGATTTATTAAAAGAAAAAAAAAAAAAAAAAAAAAAAAATTCAGAAAAAGATGAAGAAAATGAAAAAGATATATTAAAAGAAGACAATTCAAAAGATATAAAAGAGGATACAGGGAATTTTATAAGAACGAAAGAAGATTTTGATAAAATAGTAGATTTAACAAAGGATTTAATAAATCCAAAGGAAGTTGAATACATTAATAAAATTACTGATTGCGATGAAGAATTATTAAAATATGATAAAAGAGAAAAACATATTCATTTAAATTATGAAGATACTATATTTGATGAAGGGAATTATATGGATAATTATGTAAATAATATAAGCAAATTTCGTTTTGATATATATAATTTAAATAATAAAAATGAATTTGATAGAATAACAAAATATTTAAATTACCAATATATTGAAGAAATAAATGTTGATTTTCCTACAGATAAAAGCTATAATATTGAATTAAAAGAATACTTTTACCAAATTGTGTGCGATTTAATTAGTAAACACAAAGAAAAATTTGAAAATTACGTAGATGAGGAAAAAATAGAACACAAGGAATCAAATGAAAGTAATCCAATATATATTCAAAAAGGTAAATCAAATTTTCTCAATGATAAAATAGAAAATAACAAAACTGTAAGTAATTTTTTAAATGAAAATATAAATGAAGAAAAAAAATTGTCCACCTTAGATCAAATACAAAATATGAATGTATATAGAACTGAAAAAAATATAATTGAAAAGTATATGACTTTTGATCTGTTTAATTTATTATGTGAAATTAAAGAAGAGTATGATTATATGTTTGAAAATGGGGGAATAGCTCATTTTTCTTTTGATGAAAATAGAATAAAAAATAAAGAAAAACTTATTTTTTCTGGGAAAAAAAAAAGGGCAATTGCTATGGTTTTCTTACAACAAGGAAATAATCATTTAATAATTAATAATAGAGATGGCTATCAATATTTGCAATATCAGATTTTTAATTTAAATAAAATATTTAGTCCACTATTACATTTGTGTATGAATAGATATTTTAACGTTGTTGCAAGAGTAAAGGGAGGAGGTTTATCTGGTCAGAGTGTAGCCATTTTTCATGCATTAGTAAAATATATTACTTATAATTTCTCCTTAAAAATTAAGCCATTTTTTCGATCATTTAATTTTATGACAGTTGATAGCAGAAAAGTTGAAAGAAAAAAATATGGATTAAAAAAAGCTAGGAAAAGAAAACAATATAGTAAGAGATAAAATAAATTACCTATTAAAAATATATATAATATATATAATATATAAAATATATAAAATAAAATATATCTTTAATTTCCCAATTAAATATTTTAAATTATAAAGTACTCTATATATACTTCCTTATAATAATAATTATATAAAATAATTTATTAAAATATTCTTCTTTACAATTTTTTTTTTTAATATATATATTTTATTTGAAAATTTTATCTTAAAAATGTTTTGCTTAAAAAGTGTTTTCAAAATTTTTTTTTTTTTTTTTTTATATATGCACACTAATAAACTTACTATTTTTTAACATAAGATTTACTCTTATTACGATCAAAACAAATAAAATAAATATGTTATCATTAATATATTTAATCAGAGCTTTGTATATTTATTACAAAAATGAATAAAAAATAGTACATAATTATTATTATTTTTTTTTTTTTAAAATAAAAGATTCCATTATTAATATAAAAGTGTAAAATATTTATATAAATATATATATATATATTCCTCTTTAAGACTGATTTCCTATAATTTTCATTAAATAAAGTTAAATGTATTTTAAGAATATGATTTAATGATAAAAAAAAAAA